ATGGAGCAATATTTTTGCAGTCGCCCTTGACAAATTTCACCATTCAACACAGCAAATGCAAGACTATGTAAAGACATTCCCCTCTAGGTTATGAAATGTCTATGTACATCAACTCGACATGTTTGCTGCTGCTGTTAATCCCGACAGAAGACATATTCAGTGTAGCTTGTCCAGATTTTGTCCTCGTTTGGATCATTGCTGGTGTAGGCGCAGGTGCCTGTGGAGCTGCAGGCCACCATGTGGAAGCCCACCTCTGTCAGCTTGTCAAACGCCTGCTCTAGAAAATTATACTTGAGATAGTACCGGGATGTATATCTCTCCGGGGGCCTGTCCGGGTCCCTGCTCTCATTCAGCGTGTCCCCAAACACCTCTTTGGCCAGAGACGTCTTCCCGCAAACCGTGATGCGCGCCACTCTCCTGAACTTGGCGTCGGTTTGGATGTCCCTGCCAATGGTGTACGAGCCGCGGTATCCTATCGTGATATAGCCCGACTTTCTGGAGTCCAGGGACGGGGAGCGCATGGCCCCGCTGACCGACATGGCGCGTAAAGTCTCCATGCCGCCGGATGAGCCGCACTGCTGCGCGCCCTCCTCAGTGTCGCTCTGGCTGATCTCCTCGCTGATTGAGTTGTCCTTACTCACCCGGGGGCTGAGGCGCTTGGCGAGGTCCCGCAGCTGGAAAAAGTCAGCCTCCCTCTGCAGCCGACTTTTCTCGGGGAAGTAGTCCGGCAGCACCAAGTTCAGGTCCCGGAGGTAATCTAGGATGTAGCGGAACAGGAACCCATCTCTGTCCAAGAAGAAGCGCCCTTTGCTGTCTCTCGCCAACTCCTTGGGTGACTTCTTGCTGAACATGGTCCACAGCAGCGAGTCTGGGACTGCGATGAGAGTTTTGTGCCTGGTGACATAAACCTGTCCGCCGACATTCAGCTCGATGATCTCTGAGAACGGGGAGTCACCGCCGCAGTTGGACACTCCGCGCTCTGTGTCGGCAAGTGCCATCTTCTCTGAGCCGCTGCACTGATGTGGGATCAGTGGAAACACTGAGCAACTAAGTGGCAGCGGCGTGTTTATAAAGCCTGGGCTTACCGCGTGCGTGCGTGCGTGAGTGCGCGAGCGCGACGGAGGGGTTGACTGTAAAATTAACCTGTAACTATAACATGACGGTCCTGCCGAAAATATAAGCGAGCGGTCTCGTGTGTCAGTGCATGTGCAGCCTTCTCTCTCTGTCTTTGTGTGTGTGTGTGTGTGTGTGTGTGTCTTCCAGCATCACTTTGAGCAAACATCCACATCTGGTTATGAGTCATTTAGTTTTTCTCCTGCCCTGTCTGGCACAAATATAAATGTAGATCACCTCCTGATAATTATTCAATTAATGAAATGTGTTACAGAAATCCACAAGAACACACAATATCTCTTATTGTGTGTTCTCAACAATACAGTTATTTTAGCTTTGAAGTCAAGACATGTTTGCAAAATATGGAAAGAGTGACACCTATTGCAGCTCTGATGGAAATGCAGCCATCACACACACCCTCAAACAGCCCTTTGGTGAAGTGAAAATACCAATTATCAAGGCACCCACGAAGTTAGAGATAGATGCTGCCTTCTTGGTCAAATTAAAAAAATGTTTTAAGTTGTGGAGCCTTTTATTGCAGCTGAAGCAGCTCCATCACAAGACGGCCTCTAGGCTGACCTGTCATTATAGGGAAAGCACAGGTGTCACTAATAACAACAACAATAGGCTCTGTTCTATTCAGGTGTCCCAGTAAGCCATGACAGTGTGCCAGTGAGCCAGCACGAGCAACATCAGCACTCTGAAACTAAAGCAGCTAAATGGAAAAAAGGCCCAGTTCAGCTCTGTTGGGGGGGGGGGCATTGTGAGGTGTTAGAAAGCCTAATGGCTGTAGGGTAAAGTGATCTTCTAAACCTCTCAGTCCTGCAGTGCAGTGAGACCAGTCGCCCATTGCAGCTGCTCCTCTGTCCAGCCAAGATGTTGTGGAGAGGGTGGTTGACATTGTCCATTATGGCTTGCAGCTTCCCAGTGAGTCCAGTCCCCTGCCCATCACTGAGCTGGCCTTTTTAACCACCCTGTCCAAGCGTCTGTTGTTTTGGTCTGTCATGCTGCTTCCCCAACAGACTGCAGCATAAAATAGGGCACTTGCCACCATATAACCTGAACAGCAAATCCTTGCAAAAGCCGAAAAATCTGAGCCTCCTGAGGAAGAGGAGGCGGCTCTGCACCTTCTTGTCCAGAGCATAACTCAGACCAGAGATATTATAGTCTTTTTTTATTTTTCATTAACTTTTATTTATTTATTTTTTTTATTTTTCAGCTCAGTCTAGTTTCAGTTAGTTCCTAGAGTGTGTTTCCTCGTTTCAGTTCCGTTTTTTTGTGGGTAAAAAAGTTAGGCTTTAGTTTTTATTAGTTTCGATATAGTTTTAGGGTGGTGGCTCTGTCAGGGGCAAGATTTAGGAAGTTCAGAATAAATATTACAAACAAAACACTTTGTGAAGGCAGTTGCCTCAGATGTAGAAATTCAAACCTCAATAAAAATGTGCACCAATACCTCCTCATGCTTACTGTATATCCCTACCGTCATGTCCTTTAATTAGTTATCAAAGTCTTTATGAATATTTCAACCATATACATGTTATGAGTTTGTTGTCTATCCACACTATTGTACATATTGTTTCTTGTCTTTTTCATATATTTTACCGGATATTTTTCATTTTGCTTCACTTAATGTGCAGGTTTGTCACAATATAAAACAATTCTTGTTACTAGATGTGTGCAGAGTGCATTTCCCTCATTTTGCAATTCCTTTCAGATATCATGGGACCTGTGTCACATGACCTCCACATGAATTCTGTCATTGCACACCTGTTTCCAATGCATTTTACACCCTGATGAAGACTAGTCAAAACGTGCTGGTTTATCCATGTATCAAAAATGGATTTTTAACTACAGTCAGAGTGCTTCGGATGTATTTGTGGACTGCCTGCCTGCACCATGGACTTTCGCACTGAGTGAGCCGGCCAATTCTTTCATCTTTATGTGATTATTTGCCTTATGCTTGAAGAACATCTGAT